CTTTTTATACATACTTCTGCTTATGAGGGAATTGGGTATTGTGCTTCTTTATCATTGTTGTACTATTATGTATTTTTCTTTTTAGTTGTCTTCCTTTCTTTTTTCTCTTTCAATCACTCCTGTGAAGGACATCATCAGCATTTAAGCTAATGGGTCCTGGTAAATCTTGTTTCTCTCTTCTTTGGGGGTGGGGGTGATGACAAATGTCATTACCTCTTTTGTATACTTGATATGTATTCTATTTTCTTTTGTATGGTTGATATGGCTCTGATATGCTTCTCTTCTTCTCCAATTTGCCTCTCTTTTGGCAGGTTGCTGTAAATACCACAATTACAAATGAAAAAGAATTTCTGGATCATATTATCAAATCAACCAATATGAAATGCTTGACTGCATTGTAAGTCATTCATGATCGCTTACCTTCATGTTTATGATGATTTTTTGCTCATCTTTCTAAATGGCATGGTTCTGAAAACCGGACCGGTCATCGAACCGGTCGAGCTACTGGTTCAATGGTTCACTGGTCGAACCATTGGTTGAACCGGTTGGACCGAAATTTAATATATTAATATTTTTTAAATATATGTTATATTATATTATACATTTAATATATAAAAATATATTTAATTAAATATTTAAATACTTAAAGTATGCATAAATATTTTATAAATATCCATTAGACTTAAAAGCTATGAGGTTAAACATATATGAAATATATTATAAAATATTTTATATGACATAGAAAGTGGATATGAGAAACACAATTAATATACTACAAATGTATTATTGCCTCAAAATAATAATCACCAAATTTCTGTAACTTTTTTTATTAGAGAAGAAATATAATTAATATATTACATATATATCATTATCTCAAATGTAATAATAATATTCTAAAGCCCATTAAACCACTCATTGTATGATTTTTTTTTTTTTATTATTTATTTCCATTTCTTAAATATAGTGTATACTGCATAGTAAACATAAAAAGTAGACTTGCTTTTTCTAAGCTTATTAGAGCATCTCCAATGGAACATTGTCCATTTTGTGTTGAATAGCATGAAGAAAGGAAATTAAAAAAATGTGTCTCCAATGGTAAGCATTAATTGTGGTATAAATTGTGATGTGTAAAATTGTAATTGGTTGAATAAAAAAGATAAATTAAATAAATAATATAATATATTGTGGAAGTTGTTTAGAATGACTTCTACATCTAGAAGTCTTTCTAGACATTTATTATGCCACATTTGATTATTTGTGCCATGTGGCAATAGAAAAGAAGAATAGAAGAGCCATTGGAGATGCTCTTAAAGTCCACTCGATCAACAAGTTGCAATCAATTAATATTTAATACTGTAAGGCCTAATAATTTCGTACTTTATCTGTGAACAATTGTCCCACATCGAAACTACTACACGAAGAATTCATCTATTTAATTGGTTTTACAAGCAACACTTACAAGGCAAACGATGAGACCGCTGGACCGCCCGAACCGCTTCCAGTTGCGACGGTTTCGCCGGGTTTGAAACGATTCAAATGGTTTTTAACCGGTTTCGGGCCCTGACGGTTCAATAGCTCGGACCGAACCGGTATATGGACTGGTTTGCCGGTCGAACCGGCCGGTCCGGTCCGGTTTTCAGAACACTGCTAAATGGTGATCTAGTGAAATAGTTGTAGTTCTTTTCTATGCTTCTTGTGATTGGATGATTTTATGCTTTATCTTTTGGCCTATGATGAAAGTTTGCTTCCTGAAGCTAAATAGTTCTATTATGTATTTATGTTTTATTTACAACTGTACTCATCTCTTTTATGAAGTTCTACTATAGACTGCATACAATATCAGACACCAAAAGGTCACAACTAGTACTTTAAGAGTTTAAATAGATCGAGTAGGAAAAACGTGCAACTGTGTGAGCTTCAATATTGATTGTCGTGTTCGTTGATTATTAATTGAGTTGATCTTCAATGGGCCATGTCCCAGCTGATCATGAATTGGAGTCGAGTAGCTAAATGTACATACATCTTATTTTTCTTCATGAAGCTCGCTCAAACTCTACATCATATTGAATGAAATGTTGTGTTTGAATTTGGTTTATTATTGCGAACATACCAAGCAAAAAGAGCTTGTGTTTTGCGACATCAAGGTGTTTATCAGACTGTTCTGTTTGTTTTCCAGCTCTTCTCATCGATCACACTGAGTAAATTGTAAATGAGTTAAAATGCTAACGAACATGAGATGCATTGCCATTATTTTTTTGGCCCCCAGAAAATACTCTATTATCTATTGTTAACTGATGTGCACTTTTTTATACTGCTTAAAGCTGACTATGTAGTTTGCCAACCACGATTTATCTGGTGAAAAAAATACATTTCTCGCATTACAAAATTTTTTTCAGCAATCGTATTTTTTAACTTGCCACATTTTTATTGTGTTGGATGCATGACTTTTTTCTTCAGATCTGCTTTAGAAGGTGAATGTGGATTCTTGGCTGCAAACTTGTATGCAAAGAGTGTATTTGGGGAGGACGCTTTGGTAAATATAAGTGTGGAGAAACAGGGTGATGGAACACTGAATGGATATATTAGGATAAGGAGCAAAACTCAGGGAATTGCTCTCAGCTTAGGTGACAAAATCACTCTTAAGCAGCTAAAGTTTCTTTTATGATGCGATGCCTTTTGTTTTCTTCTTTAGTTTTTGTCCGAGTCGTTTATCTATTGTTTACCCTCTCTGGTATGATCTACAGGTGTATGTGGTGCCATTAGAAGCCCTTATTTGCAGGAGTTCAGTTTGGAGTTCATATATTTTAATTCTAGTATAAGGATGTTCGAAATTTTTATCTATCATTGAACTGTATGTTCTGTGTATTCTTTTTGTAGATTTGAGAGATGGTCGGGCCCACTTTTTGTTGAGATTCTGTTGTTTTTTGTGGAATGTTTTTTTACTGCAGAACCACTGGCGCATTTTACCCCCTTTTTTTATTTTTTATTTTTTTATTTTTTTTTTATGCGCTAATGCATCTTGGAGCATGGCTTGGATGAGAATTACGTTGGTTTTTTTCTTCAATTTTTAACTTCGCATTATACCGATTATAATATCATATCAAACATGGCTAAAACACGGGCGGGTCAAGCCCGAACGATTATAATATTATAATATTATACTTAGACATGGCCAAAACACGGGCTAGGCTTGGGCCATCGGGCTCGAAAATGGCGACTCGGAATCAGCCCTTGGTGGTCTTTTTCTTCAATTTTAACTTCGCATTATACCGATTATAATATCATATCAGACATGGCTAAAACACGGGCGGGCCAAGCCTGAACGATTATGATATTATATACCTAGACATGGCCAAAACATGGGCTAGGTTTGGGCCATGGGGCTCGAAAATGGCGACTCGGGATCAACCCTTATCTAGGTTCGTGGCGGGTTGGTGACTCGTTGGCCAGGGTCGGGCCTAACTTGGGTGTGGGACCTGTCCTATAAAAAAATAGAACAAATATATGTTGATTTCCCAAGTCGAACTGGACTTAGGCCGGTGGGCAGGGCCAGGGTTGAATAACATGGCCCTAAACAGGCTCGGGTGTTATTTAATTGAACGAATTTGTCGTTTATGTTGCGAATAATTATCGAGCATAAAGTCATAGATGTATATAGACTTGTTGAATCAAGTAACCGAACATATAAGCGTTCAATAAAGATTTAAAATTTGATGAGATTTCTCGGCACCCTGTAACTTTTGCTAATTCTCTAGTTATTTTATTGTTATTTAATTGTTTTAATAGTAATTCATTCAAACTCCAATCTTGATTAGAATATTTACAACTTATTTAGTACTACCTTCTATTTTTAATAGATGTCGTTTTGAGAAGTTGCACATTAATTAAGAAATTTTTTTTTGTCAATAATAACCTTATCTAATGAAGATAGAGATGAATGTTTTGAGAAAAAAGTGATGAGTGAATATGAAAAGACGTAATGTATTTATTAGTTAAATGAGGGTAATAATGGAAAAATATGTACAAAAGATCCAAAATGACATTTATTTAGCAAATAGTTGATAAAGTTAGAATGACATTTAAAAAAAATAGGAGGGAGTATTTTGTATTTTTTTTTGTCATCGATACTAGGGCTGCAAACGAGCCGAGCCGAGTCGAGCATTGCTTTATCGAGCAAGATTGATTTTTTTAAGCTGCTCGAGCTCGTCAGGCTCGATTTTTTAGGCTCGAGCTCGACTCGATAAAAAATTTCAATAGCTCGAGCTCGACTCGAAATCAAAATACTCGAGCTCGGCTCGAAAAATTTTAAGTAGAAAGGTAAAATTACCAATAAGGACATATCTTAACATATAAATAAAGGATATTTTAGTAATTTAACATGTATTTAGAGCCGCTCGACGAGGCAAAATATGGGCTCGAGCTCGACTCGAGTTCTTGTTCGAGTCGAGCTCGAGCGCTCGCGAGCGGCTTGCGAACCGCTCGACTCGTTTACAACCATAATCGATACTAAATCTAGATTTGGAAAACACAATTTACTTACAATTTTTAACACATTTTATTTAGTAAATCAAATTAAATATAATCCAAAATCCAAAAATACTTGTAATCGCAAATCACAATCTGTCTTGCTATAACACTTGTCCTACTCTTCTACACGAGACTAATTGTACTTCCACTGATGCGGTGTTTTCGTTTGCCCTTATAATTTTCTGTACCCTTTTCACACTTAATTATATTATATAAATATAAATTCGCCTCTCTTCACCTTTTTCCTGTCTCTCTCTCTCTCTGTCTCACTTCTCTCTCTCTAAACTTTTTTCCTTTGCGTCGTGAGAGTCTCTACAGACTCTGCCCTATCGCCGTCTCCGCTAAATTCGGTTTATGAGGTGAGGCCGTTGATCCCTTCGTTAATTTTATTTTTCCACTTAAATTTTTTTTAGCCAAGCTCGAGCATTTGATTTCGAACCGAGATCGAGCGATTGTACTTTTTTATCGAGTTGAGCTCGAGCGGCTAAAAAAAATAAATATCAATCCAAGCAAGACCAATGCTCGACTCGGTTCGTTTGCAGCCCTAGTTCAGAATCATGCATAGAAAGGCTGCTGTGAGTAGGGCTGCAAACGAGTCGAGCGGCTCACGAGCCGCTCGCGAGCGCTCGAGTCAAAGCTCGACTTGAGCTCGAGTTTGACCGAACTCGAGTCGAGCACGAACTCGAGTCGAGCTCGAGCGTACATTTTGCCTTGTCGAGCCGCTCGAGATATACGTTAATGACAAAAATACCCCTTATTATATATATTAGCATAGGTGCTTAATGGTAATTTTACCTAATTTTCAAACCGAACTCGAGCCGAGCTCGAGCATTTTGATTTCGAGTCGAACACGAGCCGAGCTCGAGCTATTGTAATTTCTTATCGAGTCGAGCTCGAGCCTAAAAAATCGAGCTCGACGGGCTCGAGCTCGAGCAGCTAAAAAAAAAACTCAATCCTGCTCGATAACGCTAATGCTCGACTCGGCTCGGTTCGTTTGCACTCCTAGCTGTGAGGCAGCTTAACTGAAGCATCAGAACAAAAATGCATATTTATACTGTAAAATGACATTTTGTTTTACGTTAACGTGTCATTTAAAGTATGACATCTCATTATGCAAGTATGCTAATTTGTTGAAAATATATATCCGTGTAACAGGTGATCTATAGACAGAACATGTAGAGCTCAGTTTACTTCTTCTTTTAAACACTTATTGCCCACAAACATCTACCAGAATATTTTGCGACGAAGTGAAAAATAGAGCTTACCGCAATCGTTGCTATCTGACTACGTCTGCTAAAAATGTCAAGATGAAGGACTGCACACACAAATTAATACCATGTATAAGCACATCAGTGAAAATTGTTGAGCAATCCTTTTTCTAAATTAGACATTTTAGAAGATAATATAAAAGCTAACTATGATGCTGCTGGTATTACAAAAAGTGATTCAAGATGACCTCCAAATATATTGGTGTAAAAAATTTCGAAAAGAAACGTCGGAATGTTGTTTTTCCCTGTCCAGACTCAAGCTTCTCTTCTACCTGAAAAGCATAGTCAGGATTAATCTAAAGTATGTAATATAAATTGAGTCACAGGGAAGGCAAGCATTACATGGCAAATATTGAAGTATAATGTACAACAATGAGCAGAAAATCAAGTATGGACCGACCGAGTACAATAACATGGAGCAAAGAGATGTATGCTTACAAGGTATAGTAGAATAGTAAATTTAACAAGAAAAAGAGATGTACTCAGACAATAAACCCACTTGAGTTGCATGTAAAAGCTGCAGGAAAGGATGTTTCTGAATTTTTTTTTTTTATTTGATTTGTATAAACCTTAGGAACAACTACGGCTTCTTGAACTACCCTATTTGAGGGTTGTGTGGGTGGAAGACCAACCGTTATAGCATCAAAGGATGGCCGGGAAAACAACAAATGATCACCACTCGAGCCGCTACCTTTGGCTTGACACAACACCTGATAACAACATGAATATAAGAAAGTATACCATATTAAAATAATATCACTTGTAATCATCATAAAGTATAGATAGAAAAATGCAAAGTGTGTAACCAGAATAATGAGAAAAATCAATGTTCATCTTTCTTGGGCAAAGAAGAGATGCTGAGGCAAAAACAAGAACAATCACAAGAGTAGGGTTACAACATTAATTTTTCACTAAAGCATGCAACACGATTTTTCTCCTTTTGTACAAGGCTTACTAAATCTCAGCCACACATTTCAAAATGAAGACAAGCTAGATGGATGACACATAGCACTAAGGATAAGAATTAATAACAAACTAATGTACTAGCATAAATGTGAGCTGTCTCTTGTCTATTCTGCACGTTGCATGGCCCCGCTGGTGTGTGCATGCTGCCTTGGCTTGCAGCCCTTGGTTATATTATGGCTAGCTCTTGACCATGCAGAAGCAGGATCACTTCTAACACCCCCTCTCAACTCGAACAAGCTCTTGGGAAGAACAAACAGTTTGTTTCTAAATCTTGTGAAGAGTTGTCCTGAGATTGGTTTGGTAAACAAATCTGCTGTTTGATCCAAGGCAGGGATATGTCTAACTGAAATCTGCTTTGAAGCCACCTTCTCTCTTATGAAATGCAGATCAATCTCAAAGTGTTTAGTTCTAGAATGAAAGACAGGATTCCCAGCCAAACTGACAGCTCCTTGATTATCCATCCATATGTTGGCTGTTTTTGGTGTTCCAATTCTAAGTTCTTGCAAAAGAGATTGAAGCCAAACCACATCACAAGAAGCATGAGCTAAGGATCTGTATTCAGCTTCTGTGCTTGACCTAGAAACAACATGTTGCTTCTTTGAGCTCCAAGAAATCAGATTAGGTCCCAGAAAAATACAATACCCACTAGTAGATCTTCTGTCATCTAAATCTGAACCCCAATCAGCATCTGCATGGCCATTGATTTGAAGATTCTTTGGTGTATAAAAATGCATAGCATACTCCATAGTTTCTGTCAAATACCTGAGGATTCTTTTGACAGCTCTCCAATGTGTGTTGAGAGGTGTTTGCATGTATTGAGAGACTTTGTTGACACTATATGATAATTCTGGCCTTGTGAGGGTAGCATACTGCAGTGCACCCACAACTGATCTAAAAAGAGTAGGATTTTCCATTGGCTGACCATCAAACTTAGACAAGACAAGAGTGCTCACCATTGGAGATGATATCCCTTTAGCATCAAGCATCTTTACTCTAGACAAGAGATCAGAGATATACTTCTTTTGGTTAAGGAACATTCTATCACCTATCTTAGAGAACTCAACTTCTAGGAAATAATTCAAGCCAC